CACTCGATCATGCTGACGGTATGTGGAAGAATACTCTACTCCAGACCTGGTTGCAACATAGTACTCATGTACCCATGTTTGCTCCTCGTGTGAAATATTAAGTGCATACCGGCCAACATTTCTGCGATGAAAATAGGGACGTCCTATTCCATAAATAATATTTTTTACTATTTATACCCCACCCATCTGACTGGGTTGCCCCAGCCACTCTGGGTGACTTCCAACATATATAAACCATAATAAAACATTATACATTAAACAAACCCTGCCTATACTGAGCTGCCTTCAGATGGCTCGGGGGTTGGATCAATCCATATCCTCCCAACATTTCTCCAATGAAGATAGGGATGTCCTAAGTAAAAGCGGGACATTCCAGGATCAAATCAGAAATTGGGATGGCCTCTGTAAATCCAGGACTGTCCCTGGAAAATAGGGATGCTTGGAGAGTTTCTGCATTTTGGGGTTCAAATCTCATACATATTTCCAATGATTGTATGCACAGGGTCTCATGTTCAATCATACGCAAGAGCTTTAGATAACAATACAGCACCATTTACATACAGTAATATACTAATTGTTGTGCTCTCCAATTTAGAATTATGAATCTCAGACGAACTGAACATGAATGACAGGTCATACAAGTACAGATCAAACAAACTGGGAGCCAATGTATGCCCTTGGAACACACATTTTGATGCAACAATATATGTTAAGAGCAGACCTTACGGTCCACATCTGACAAGTACAAATTTCTGAAGACTAAGATATGTGGTATACACCTTACTAATTACTGATAGTAAACAAATTGTTATCTCAAAATCTCTGCTATTGTGGGAAAAGGCTATATTTCTCAAAGTTCTTTCTCTTTATACCTCTTTTTAATCTCAGTTTTCACAGAGAGTTTTTTTCCATGTAATAATAGGAACGAGGCAACATATTAAAATTCTCCCTATGGTTCTACAAATGTAGACAATGCAATAGGTTGTTAATCTCCCTACATTCTTTGTAAAAAGAGAAAAGCAAAATGCTATTTCTTGAAAAATTAGTTCTTTGGCCACTACATCTAGAAGCAATCAGTGCTTCCATAATTGGAAATTAAGTACTCATTCTGCTGGTTTTATTAGTTAATCATAAATTTGACTAAAAATCGTTTAAGACTTGTAGATTCAACAAATTCTGCCTTATATTGCCTGCCCATTTCAGTCTTTTAAAGAACTCATCACTATTGAAAGAACTAATTTAAAGAACTCAAAATAGTCATAATCCCACTGGGTAGTGGAAATATCCACTCTTGATAGTATAGCTGGGAAGGGCACTACCAAACCACAGAATTAACCAGCTTTCAGGGTTGAATTCTGCAGTGTAGATTCTTCAGGCTCTTTCTGAGACACTTAGGTCCTTTTCAACTCTGGAAAAGCTTTTGAGTAGATCCAGAAAGTCACTTCCCACCATCAACTTGTGTTGAGCATTCTTAGGCGTTGACTGAGGCATGGTGCTTAAATACAGGTTAACAGTATAATTAATCTATATCAGCCCAGGGAAGCCTTCCACCACCACGGAGAGGCCCAACAAGGTCCCCCACCCCTGCAGGAAGGCTTGGTCTCCCCTCAAGATTGGAGGGGAGCTGAGCCTCATCCCTGCATACTTTCTGTTTGGGGAGGTTGAGCTGTCCTCAGCTCCATAGAACTGGTGTCTATGACTCCAATGGATGACCTTCTGTGATGATGTCAGGCCACTACATGAGTCCTGTTCGTCCAGGCCTATCAATGGGGTGGAGATCAGTTCACAAAGGACTTGAAGCATCTACATCATGGGTAGGCAAACTAAGGCCCGGGGGCTGGATCTGGCCCAATTGCCTTCTAAACCCTGCCCACTGATGGTCTGGGAATCAGCATGTTTTTACATGAGTAGAATGTGTGCTTTTATTTAAAATGCATTTTAAATGCCTAGGTTATTTGTGGGGCATAGGAATTTTTCATTTTTTTTCCTTCCAAAATATAGTCCAGCCCTACACAAGGTCTGAGGGAGAGTGGACCGGCCCCCTCCTGGAAAACTTTGCTGACCCCTGATCTACATTATCCAGGTGGCAAAATAATTTGACACACCAATCATATTTTCTACTGGAACTGAAAGTGTTTTCCCACTCCTGTTGTTTAGTCGTTTAGTCATGTCTGACTCTTCGTGACCCCATGGACCAGAGCACGCCAGGCACTCCTGTCTTCCACTCCTAGCTGGTGCTATTGTGGGAGATGCCAATTCAATTTAGAAAACTAAAATATAGAAGCCATTGTATAAGAATGACAATTAGGAAGGGTAGCTATGCCTTAAGTACCACTTTTTAGGGGCAGAAATTTATCATTAGACCCCATGAGTATCTTACTCATACACTGAAACAAAGCAGAGTAGGCTATGGCAGCTGCAAAGCTGACTTTGTCTATCGTCAATATTATGCAAATAAGCTAAAGTAACACATAATTATCCACAATAGGGTGGATTTTTAAACATGTTTCCTTAACACTGCATTATAGTTTTCAGATTACTTTTGTGATTCTAGAGGAGGTTCTCCGAAAGGTCACTGATTTCCATGATGCAGTTTTAGAATTCACTCATGCATATTATGTGACATGATTTTTGACCTCCCATATAGGGACAAAGCTAAATATAAAACTGTGCTGCAAACAAGCTCAATTCTTTGTATGCAGGCATGGTCTAACAGTATAATCCTTTGCATGTTTACTCTGAAGTTAAGTCTTGCAATATTCAATGACACTTACTCCCAAGTAATTAAGCCCGGGATTGCAGATTTAAGAATTTTTAAATTCTATGTTTAAGCAATATAATATAAATACATAAAGCTCTGGAGACAAGCATTTCAGATGTTTATGTATACAGTGGTACCTCAGGTTACATAGGCTTCAGGTTACATGCGCTTCAGGTTACAGACTCCACTAACCCAGAAATAGTGCTTCAGGTTAAGAACTTTGCTTCAGGATGAGAACAGAAATTGTGCTCCGGAGGCGTGGCGGCAGCAGGAGGCCCCATTAGCTAAAGTGGTGCTTCAGGTTAAGAACAGTTTCAGGTTAAGAACAGACCTCCGGAACAAATTAAGTACTTAACCCGAGGTACCACTGTATACATATATCACATTTATTCCAAATTGCCACTCCCTCTCTGCAGACTTATTAAAGTCTGTGGTTACATTTTCACCTCAGCCATATAGCATGGATGGCATTCAACCAAGTCAGGTGCATCGATTTCAATAGGTCTGCTCTTGAGTAAAACTTAGTTGAATACCGCCACATCTCTTTTATCTTAGTCAGATCCAACCATTCATGAATCCTTCTCCTGCAGCTGAGTAGTGTGGTGTTCAAGTTTTGTTCAAGTTATTATTAAAGCTGAAGGCTGACTTACGTAAAAGTGTGGATTGGGTGTGACATTAGCTGACTGGAAAGAGAGGGGCGGACTCTCTCTCCTTGAAGACAAAAGCTACTTCCTTATAATATCCAAAAACATCTGCCTGAGACAACCACACCACTCTAAGCCTATAGGTAGGACCAGTTCCACTGGCGAGGAACTTGGTGTCCCTTCCATTTCTACTTGGTGTCCCTTCCATTTCTGCTTGCCTCCTAGATTGCAGGACCTGCATCCAGAACAAGGAAGCTGCCCACACTCTTCCATTTCCAGCTCTCATCTCCCTGCTTCCTTAGTTAGAACCAGCATTTGTCAGTAGCTCAGTAGTGCTCTCAAGTATCCTCTGCTACCCATGCCTGCCACTTAGCCTGGTACGGCTCAGATAATCATATGCTTCCTATCATGTGACCCTGGAGAGCTCCTGTGCTGTTGGACCACTTCATTCATCTTTTCTGGTCTAGCCGCTCGGTAAGAACTGCAACATTATCTGCTCCCTGTTTGCTGTCCATATAAAAAAGGGCTTCACATATTCTATGATTCCCCAATCAAAAACCTGGTAAGAAACTGAGGAACAAGGGGTGCAAGGCAGATCACATCATGAATACATGACAGAAGCAAGAAGGAAGGAAATATTGGTTCCCTGCTTAATAATAATAATTTATACCCTACACATCCGGCTGGGTTTCCCCAGCCACTCTGGGCGGCTTCCAACAAAAGATTAAAAATACATTAAAACATCAGACATTAAAAACTTCCCTAAACAGGGCTGCCTTCAGATGTCGTCTAAAAGTCAGATAGTTGTATATTTCTTTGACATTGAGTGGGAGGGTGTTCCACAGGGCGGGCACCACCACCGAGAAGGCCCTCTGCCTGGTTCCCTGTAACTTCACTTCTCTCAATGAGGGAACCGCCAGAAGACTCTCGGCACTGGACCTAAGTGTCCGGGCTGAACAATGGGGGGGGGAGACGCTCCTTCAGGTCTACTGGGCTGAGGCCATTTAGGGTGTTAAAGGTCAGCACCAGCACTTTGAATTGTGCTTGGAAACGTACTAGGAGCCAATGAAGGTCTTTCAGGACCGGTGTTATATGATCTTGGTGGTCTCTTCCAGTCACCAGTCTAGCTGCTGCATTCTGGATTAGTTGTAGTTCACCTTCAAAGGTAGCCTCACGTAGAGTGCACTGCAGTAGTAAGTGGGAGATAACTGGAGCGTGCACCACTCTGGTTGGGTATTAGCCACAATGACACACTGAGGTTTAATTCCTAGAACCACCAGCGTCCAGTGAGGTAGCAGATGGATGGGAAGGGCTAGAAAGAGGCCATTGATGCTCAGAAGTGAGCAAGGGTAAGAAAGCCCACCCCCATTCCCACCCTTTTTGGTAGCAGACTTGTCAGCAACAGGAATTGTAGAGTCAAAGCTGTGTAGGTTTGCAGCTACTGACTGGCCACACCAGGAACACATAAGATACATCAGCAGCCCTGCACCTTTCATGGTGTTGACTATAGTGGCCTTCTGCCCCCCTTGTTCCCACCAGTAAGGGTGTGGAAACTTCCCTACCCACAGGCTGTACTTGGCAATAGCAGCATCTTCCCATTGTGTTGGCTCACCAGCCGCTGCTGCCAAAACATGCGCATTTTTATTTTTTTTTCATTTTCAGACATGTTTTGACCAGGTAGGGTTGGGCAAACCTGTCAATTTTGGTTGCTCATGTCGCCAGTCTTCAATTCTCCACATTTCCACATCAGCTTCTGAATTCACCTTTTAAAAATAATAATAACATAATAAAAAATCGTCATCCTGAAAATTCATCAGCATTTCTAATATGTGCACATTTTTGTATGCAATTTTGCCTTACACATTTTCGCAAAGTACCTTATATTTTATCCCATCATTGTATTTTCCCTAATGCATTTCCCCCATGTTATTTTCACTAATATGTGCATTTTCACGCACACTTTACTTTAGTATATGCATTTTTGTGCATATTGCTGGGCTGGAGAACTGAATTGCAAAATTTAGAGAAGTACGAATTTCAAAGGGTGGTGGTGTTTCAGTCCACATATTATCTTATCAAGTGTAAAATGGGTAAATTCATGTTTAAATGCAATCTGATTTGAATTCTCCCCATTCCTACAACCAGGGCACCCCTGTGTTTGTTAAGGTGTTGCTGGTAAAATCCGCTATATCAGTTGTACCTAAAGTGTTTGCTGTTCTCAGCAACCATCTTGTGCCCTGTACAGTGGGACCTCAGGTTAAGTACTTAATTCGTTCCAGAGGTCCGTTCTTAACCTGAAACTGTTCTTAACCTGAAGCACCACTTTAGCTAATGGGGCCTCCTGCTGCCGCCGCGCCGCCACAGCACGATTTCTGTTCTCATCCTGAAGCAAAGTTCTTAACCCGAGGTACTATTTCTGGGTTAGTGGAGTCTGTAACCTGAAGCGCATGTAACCCGAGGTACCACTGTACTGGTGAATCCTGCCCTTCTTATCTGTACAGTTTAACAAAGAGAGATAATGCTACCGTTACAGCATTCTCGTTCTTTCTTTTTCACTTCCTGTTTTTGCAATAATAGTCTCTGTTTATAAAAACACATGTTCATGGCGGCAACAGGAATATTGCTGGAAGCATTAGTCATAGTTTCTATTGTGGATAGTTGACAGTGAGGTGCAGGAGGACATCAATTCAGATGTTCACTCTGTTTTTCTTCCAAGGTCCTTGAATGAATATTCTATGTGCTTCAGCGTTCTGCTTGCTAAACAGAATAAAACTGCTTTTCCCCGCAGAACAAATATAAGAGTCTACCACAGGGGTCAGCAAAATTTTTCAGCAGGAGGCTGGCCCACTGTCCCTCAGACCTTGTGGGGGGCCGGACTATATTTTGGGGGGGAACATTAAAATGAACTGGCCCCCTGCTGAAAAGGTTTGCTGACCCCTGCAATAGAGGATATCCTCTATGGTTCCTGGGAAAGTCTCCTCATGGTTGGGTCTCTCCCTCATAACTGGGACCCAGCTGAGAGGTACTGGAATGCCATTACAGCAAGTTCCAGCAGAGGGGGAAAGCCTTGACTAGTGCTATTCTCTGCCAGTGTATGTACTTGTAAGAGAGGACATGCAAGAGGCCAGAGTTGAATCCCTTTATTGCCAGTAACTCTACTTGGGTGAAGAACGACTGCATCTTTCTGTGAGAAAGAACAAGGAGCAGCCCTTCTCATTTTCATGAGTAGCAGTGGATCAAGGATGGAGCTAATATAACATGGGGGAGGAGGAAATGCTTCCCTGGGAAGCCCCAATCTCTGCTTCCCCATTTCTGCTGAAATATGAACGCAGCTGCTTGGGGATAATTGATTTTTAATTGCTGGCAATCCATATCTCATCAACACAATGTGAAATAATTCTCACCCCTTGCATCTTCAAATTCTGCAGACATCTGGGTATCTGTGCTCCATTAGCAACCCTTTTGGGCTTCATCCATCTTTTCAATCTGAAGCAACCCTTGACTGCTGGGCCACAAAGTTTTACCAATGACAACAATAGCAAAGGAAAATATATGAGTCGTGTATGTACAGTAGATTTTGTAGTGCATGTTTGTTATGGGGAACTTTTTCAGTTGCATTTGGAATTGGGCTCAGCAAATGAATTGTTCCCCTTCCCCTCAAAAAAGCTTTCTCCACCTAATGATCCCATAATGTAGAAACCTGTTATGTACCTGATAACATCAGCAGGACTGAAGCAGAATCAAAACCTCCCCAAGAATTTCCAAACTCCTCCATGACTCTCTGAAGCTTATTCTTCCCCCAACAAGCCTAAATATTACCCTACTGCTCCCGTTCATTCTCCAGAATCCAGACCCTCCAAGCGTCCCTATCTTCCAAGGAAAGTCTCAGATTTACAGAAGCTGTCACAGTTTCTGATTTGGTCCCAGAATGTTCCGTTTTCCCTTAGAACAACCCTATTATCATTGGAAAATGTTGGGTGGTATGGAGTTATGTGACCCCTGAGCCAAGGAGATAAGTAACAATGCAACCATTAGAAGACATCTGAAGGCAGCCCTGTATAGGGAAGTTTTTTCATGTTTAATGTTCTATTATGTTTTTATATATGTTGGAAGCTGTCCAGAGTGGCTGGGGCAACCCAGTCAGATGGGTGGGGTAATCATCATCATCATCATCATCATCATCATCATTTAGGATGTCCCTATTTTCATCAGAGAAATGTTGGAGGGTATGGAAATCTAACCTAGTAGTGGTGGGAGAAGAAGTAGCAACAACTGGGAGGTACTCCTCTTCCTTTTGCCTGGGACACTGAAAATGCAAAATCTGTAGAGTGGCCAGTTATGCAATACCAGAAAGAAGACATGGATTTGCATATAATCTGCATGTATTAATTAATGCATATATACAGTTGGAAATAATTACTATATTTTAAATAGAAACAAGATATCTCACCTTAGCAGGGCAGGCTGCAACTGGGTGCTCTGTATGCCTCCTTGGTCTGCTGTCCGGGTGCCAACTTTCGGACAAATTCAAGGTCCATTCCCTTCTTCTGGTTCTTTATCTTTGAATTGAGCTTGGTTTGCACAGCCCTTTGAACAGAGGATTCCTTCAGATCATCTGCAGAGTAGGACACATGGACAACCTAGGAATTCCAGATGGCAGAAATCCCAGAGTCCTGTTTGAGTAAGCTGACCAGTAATGGAATACCTGTTTTAGCTTTATTATTTTGGGGGTTTTCATATAAGGACCCAGACTTCTAAGTTGTGGGGAAGACTAAGACTGCAGTTCTTTCACATTTCCATTGAAGTAGTAATTAGAGGGGATAAGGAAAAAGGTAAAAGGTAAAGAGCCCCTGGACGGTTAAGTCCAGTCAAAGGGTTGTGGCACTCATATCCGCTTCCAGGCCAAGGAAGCCAGTGTTTGTTCACTGATAGCTTTCCGGGTCATGTGGCCAGCAGGACTAAACTGCTTCTGGCACAACGGGACACCATGATGGAAACCAGAGCACATGGAAACATCGTTTACCTTCCCGCAACAGTGGTACCTATTTATCCACTTGCACTGGCATGCTTTTGAATAGCTAGGTTGGCAGGAGCTGGGACAGAGCAACAGGAGCTAACCCCGTTGCGGGGATTCAAGCCACCAATCTTCTGACGGGGACGCCCAAGAAGTTTGGTGGTTTAGACCACAGCACCACCCATGTCCCAAATAAACAAGCACACAATCGCTGATAGGTCCACCTGCCATTGTGAGGCTCAAAGCAATGAAGATGATGCCTCCCCAGCTGTTGCCATTGGCTGTGGGTTTCTTGTGATGTCACAAAATCACCTGGCAACTGAGTGGATATAAAGGCAGGCCAAGGGGAAAGCCCTTTTCTGTTTCCAGCAGGACACACCTGGCAATGGATGTGACATTCAGCACTGCCCAAGTTTCTTCCACTTGGAGGAGGCAAACTGGTGAATGGAAGGAGGCAATCCTCTGGCAGTGGGATGCTAGTGATAATAAGGCAAGTTTGCTTGCTTGGCTGATGTCTCATGATGGACCTAAGAGAAGCTGACAGATGTTGGTGGATGCAAGCCAGTGGCATTTGGATTCAGAAGTTGGTGGAGGCTACAAGGCTAAAGCAGACTGATATTTGTGGATGTTGGCTGATGGAAGTTCACCTTTGGAAGCCAGTCAACAGAAGCCAGTGGATCTTTGTAGATTGAAGTCAGGGCACAAATATGAATGGATGTCATTTTTTGGATGTTGGCTGGTATATGTTTGTGTGAGTACATGGGAGGTTTCAAATGTGGTTGAGGCAGAATGGTGTTTGCATGTTCACAAATGTGATGTGTGAAAGAATAGATGAAACCCATGGGAGGAGGGATGTAGGTTTCAGAGAATCAGAATCAAGTTTGGGAGAGACCATGAGGGCCATCTAGCCCAACCCCTTACAATGCAAGGAATCTTTTGCCCAGTGTGGGGCTCAAACCCACGACCCTGAAATTAAGAGTCCCATATATTTTGTGTTTTTATGTTGTAATGTTGTGAACTGCCCTGTGATCTTTGGATGAAGGGCAGTATTCAAATTTTAATAGCAGTAATAGTAGTAAAAGTGCACTGGAGCTGGGACAGAGCAACGGGAGCTCACCCCGTTGCAGGGATTTGAACTGCTGATCTTCTGATCGGCAAGCCCAAGAGGCTCAGTGGGTGGGGGACTTCCCTGTGGTAGAGGCCCCAATCTATATCCAGGCAAGTGGTAAGCCTCTGCGGGTGTTCCACCCATCAGTGGTTTAATGTGAGAAGCATTTTGGTGGAGGCAGGCTGGACCTCTCAGGAGCCCTAGCTATGCCACCTGGAGCAGGCATAGCTAGGGCTCCAGATGCAAAAGTGGCTCCCTCATTCTGATTCCCTCAGACCCCAGGTTGGCTGTCAAGGCCACAGTCCACCCCCCGGGTAATAAAGACACAACGACACATGAATTAAGTTTAAATGTTAATGGGCAAATTTTGGCCACAACTTTACTGAATACAGAATGTGAGCGGTATTGGCTTAGGCATTGGAATCCAAAACTATAACTGACTCCTGCCCGCCTTGCAGGGAGTCTGGTAAGGGTAACCAGACAAAGAGGGAGCTCGGTTGATAGCAATCAGCTCACGCTCTACCTCGGGGCTCCCGGTGGGTCATGGCATGGCCCTCACCTCTCCTTGGGCTTCGGACGAAATCCAAACCCCCGGACTCCTTTAGCGGAATATCCTTGATTGTGGAGGGGGCAGGTGAGCAATCAATAGCCAGAGAGCCAGTGTGGTGTAGTGGTTAAGAGTTGTAGTCTTGCAATCTGGGGAACCGGGTTCGCATCTCGGCTCCTCCACATGCAGCTGCTGGGTAACATTGGGCCAGTCACACTTTGAAGTCTCTCAGCCCCACTCACCTCACAGAGTGTTTGTTGTGGGGGAGGAAGGGAAAGGAGATTGTTAGCCGCTTTGAGACTCCTTCGGGTAGTGATAAAGCGGGATATCAAATCCAAACTCTTGTTCTTCTTCAATAATAGACAAAAACACTGCAACTTTGAAACGCATAGTTTTGCTGCAGGGAAAGGTGTGTGTGTGTGTTTAATGGCAGAAGCAAGCAGTTTTGCAAAATTAATAACAAATTATCCATTTATGTAAAAGAAAATCCAGTATATTTCCATATAGCTACGTATAAAAGATTAAAATATATAGGTTATAAATAGAGGTGGATTCACATGGGTTGTACAGCGAAGTGGTCATCTGATGGCTCCACGCTGCGGCCAGATCAATTTTCAGTCTGGAGAGTGTTAACTTTTTCCATGCACCTCCCTGTGGGTTGAAAATGTAGCCTGCTTGCTGCACAGTGGAATGAAGAAACCACCACTTCGCTGTGCAGCCTGCTGTAAAATGCACATTATCAGCAAAGGCAACATTTCCATCATGAAAATTAGGTCGTATTTCGTTTACCAATAAGCTTGATGGAGAATGTATCCACACAGCACAATTGTGTGTTGTTGTTTTATAAAGACCCATATGAACAATATGTTAATGAAATAAATAATGCTTATTCAAACTTTTAAAAGAAATTTCAGCTGACAAACGTTATTTTGCTTGCCCTAACAAAATTTTCAAATCTACTTTCCAAACTCCATTCCAGGTGTGTTTTTTTTCCAACCTACCCAAGGCCTGTGGCTGAAGTCTTTTGGCATGTCTTAACTCTAGCTAGGGGTGTCAACAAGATCCCCTTGGGCGAGGGGAAAAAATGCAAAAACTATTACTATTCTTGTCAACAAGAACTTTGCTTCTCTGAATTATTCATGCTGCATAATGATCTTCCAGGTTCCTGTCAGGAAAACGAATCACCATATTATTACGCTGCCAGAAAGTGTAATTAAAAATTGATCTCCATCGCAGCGGAATTCTTTCCAAACCTGTGGCAAAAGAGGCCGAATCGAGTCGCTGTAACATTCCTGCCATTGTGTGTTTAACCTGCGTGAATACAAAACGACACAACATTGTTAAGTGGGCTTGTCCTTTGGATATTCATGGGGGTTGCATTTATCGTTTGGTTGGTTTCCTAACCCGGCGAATGAATTAAATGTTGTGCTGCTCTTCATTTCAAAAGGTAGCAACTGTGCCTACCCAGCGCCCGAGGCAAGTGGGAAGCTATGAAATCTCCGCTGTTGCAATTACACAGCCCCTTCTGGGCTTAGGGAAATATTGTTCGGGCATTTGATTAACTGTCAAGCGCATTAATCAGTTTCTCACCAGTTGCGTTTCTCGGAAGCCACAGCAGTCAATTTGGTTTCTCTTTCTTCACAAGTTATTAGTGGGGAATGAAAAAGATGCTGGAGAAAACAGAAAGCCACAGGTGTTTGTCGCTCAGAGGGCCACAGAACAGCAGAGCGACACAGGCTGTCCTCCGCAGAAGACGCCTTAAGGCTTCGTGAGACCAGTGATTTGGCACTGCCCCCTTGTTCAACCATGCCCAACCTCACGCCCATGCAACCCTGTAATAATCTCTTAGGAGCAACTGGGGACACCATGGGCAATAAGCCTGGTTTGCTCAATGTCGCTGCTACAATTGCTGTACCTGGGAAGCCAGATACATGAACGATTGATTTGATAGTATGCCTCTTTAAAGTAAAAATTAAAATTAAAAAAAATTCTCAAAGGGATGTACACACTTGTGCAGGCAGCACATCAACACCATCATTATATTACCCTTCATCAAAAGTTCTTAGGGCAGTTTACAGAATTATTATTATTATTATTATTATTATTATTATTATTATTATTTATTTTTATACCCCGCCCATCTGGCTGGGTTGCCCCAGCCACTCTGGGCAGCTTCCAACACACATAAAAATAACAATAAACATCAAACATTAATAGTAACAATCTGATCCAATATAAAAAGTCACAATAACTTTACAATAAACAACTTATATTGAATAAAGCAATATTCAAATACCCATTGTAATCCAATAGTGAACAGTAAAATTAAATATCAGCAAATAATCAACAGTTTGCACTTATCAATTACAATAAAGAATTACTAATCTATAATCAACAAAAATAACAGTAAATCACAATGCATAGAGACATACAAAACAGTGTAAAAGGATCAAATTGAGAAAAGAGGGCGCACAATTTATTTATTTTTTAATATCCCTGAATTCCTCTCTTTCCAGCTGCTTCTACTGTTCTCAAAATCATGGGTCTGGGAAAGGCTCCCGGGGCTGGAGGGTGGGGCAAGACAGGTGGAGAAGCCATTGCTTACAGAAAGTCTCTCTCCCCTCAGAATAAGACACAAGATAAAACACAAGTAAACAATTAAACCAAGACCACAGACCAATAATCCTCCCTCCCACAGACACGTTTTAAAGGCTGTAGGATATTAATCAGCCAAAGGCCTGGCTGCAGAGGAACATTTTCGCCTGGCACCTAAATATATATAATGAAGGCTCCTGAGCATTCCACAAATTGGGAGCCACTACAGAAAAGGTCCATTCTCGTGTTGCCACATGGAGGCACACCAAGAAGGGCCTCAGATAATGAACACATATGGGGAGAGGCAGTCCTTGAAGTACTGTGGTCCTGAGCCATTAGGAAGCTGGCGTCAGAGACCATTAGTCCATCAGTTATTGTTTACACTGACTCTGTGGGGTTTCAGGCAGTGCCCTTGTCCATCCCTACCTAGAGATGATGGGGGCTTAACGTAGGCAAAAATAAGAATGTTCTCCACCATTGAGCTACTTAGCGCTTGTCCAACACAAACCAGGTCTTTCCTTGTTTTGTTACTGCTGATCAGGTTCTTCCCACCCCCTTGTTCTTTGCTTCTCTTCAGTTACTATGACAATGCTTTATGGGCCCTCTCTGTTAAGTATAATTGTTTAATTGACACTGAAATGGAGACTGCCTGAGATAGTGCCCAGAGCCTCAATCTGAGGGCTCACTGTCTGTTCCCCCTGGCCCTTTTGCTCCCCCTCTTTCTCCTTTTCCTCAGTGCCACCATTGAGGGTGAGTGTGTTCAGTCATAGGGACAATGTGAAGGGCCTTCAGCTGCCTCCATTGCGTCCTCCCTTGTAGATGAGCCAGTTTAGCTCACTAGAGAGATGTGCTTGACTGTTTTTG